CTCTGAAAGAATTTCAGATAATTCTTCTATAATTTGCCTTTAGACCTATAGGGAAATTTGAAATATCTAAAGGTAAAAACACAAAGTAAACTACTATGTTTCTTTCTAGTGTACGAAGTCATTGCTAAGTCTGGAAAACTTTTGTTTCAAAGGGTTTGTAAAGGTTGGGGAAGGGTGTTGCAGAGAGCTTGTTAGAATGAGGTAGTTGTACACTTCTGCTTTTCAGTCTCTTCTTCACACAATCATCCTTGAACTCCTGAAAAATTCTGAATTATATTTATGATTTATTTAACAAGTATGGAAATGATAGTTAAAATATTTTAAACTTGGGAACACTCACTTTGTCAAAAAGGCTTAAAAAGAAGTTTAAAAAAAGCGCTATATAATAGCAAATAAATACATAATTTAGCCATTGCAACAATGATGTTCTGTAACCTTAAGGTACTTTATTTATTAAACAAAGAGCTTTACATCTCCCCCCTAAATCATTTGCATTTAATTTCTATATTCTTCTTTGCTAAGTTTTTTTGGGTTCTCCCCCACCCCCTCAAACTAATATATAATCACTGAACCATGTACTTCAGAGAGAAGCACATAGAGGTTAAAAATAGTTCTGGAGGCCTGTTAATGACTTCCATAATTTCGACCTTTGGATTTCCATGAATGTAATCTAAGATTATTTTTTTTTATTATTCAAACTGTTTGGACCTTTCTTTATTGTAACTATGATTTTCTGATGAGATTTTTAGCAGAGTTAAGAGCTAAGTCTTTGAAATATGACTACTGCAGCTGTCTTCACGTGGGTCCCTGCTGTGGGTGTGTGTAGCTTCAGAGGAAGGAAAAGGAAAAGTCAGTGGTGAGGACAGAGCTTGCCTTTTCATCGTTTGTTTTATGTGGCAGCATTAGAATTTCACCTTTGCTGAGCCATAATGATGAAGGTCTCAATGCCTCAAGCTGCTAAGCAGCCTGGCTTTGATTTAAGAATAAACCTAAATCTGTGCTTAACTATAGGCATTTAAGTATTTCCAGTGAAGTAATTGGTTTGAGTCAGAAATACCTGTCATGACAGTCTTAAATCTCAAGTAGTTCACTTGTTTGTATGTTTGGACTGGCACAGGGTGACTGAAAACTACAGTAAGGAATGGTAAAATTGGGTCCCCTTTGAGGAAAGATCAGAGAGCAAACTGAGTT